AGAGAGAGAGAAAGAGAGAGAGAGAGGTGGGGTGAGAGGGAGGGGGAGAGTATGCACAAAAAAATTCCGACATAATTGATGACATGTAAATTATGACAAGCTGGGGCGAAAATGGCAGCATTTAAGCAGGCATTGATTGGGCTGGCCACAATCCACCTCCTGAATTATCTGAATAGTGTCGGTGGGTAAATAAAAATTGAAGTACCACGACTCTGTTGCAGGCCACCCTCTGCCTCCCCTGGTCTGTGGGCTTTCCCCACGTCTGCGACATTAGGGGGGGTCACATACGTACGGGGGAGAGGAGCGGCGGGGGCTGAACCAACAAGCCAACGACAGTCGACTGGCACTTCTTTGTGCCGGAATACAGTGGCGATGTATTCTGTCAGTGTCCACTCAATAGTTTATCGCTCCACTGACCACATTCCAGAGCCCACGGAGCACAGGCTTTGCACAAAGAACCTAGCTAAACAGCGCCCGATCAAAGCCAATTTGACCACGTTCATTTGACTGCAGCGAGAATAAACGGGCATTATCGCGCACGGGAACTAGTAACGTGACGAGAAATAACTTCGCGAGAACGTACTAAGAAGTTCAGGTTCGAAGATCACCGCGGGGCGCATTATATTGCATGGGTGCTGCGAAAATGTTTTGAGATACATGTTTAGTTCGGTGGCTTTGGCCGTTCCAAATAATCCTCCAGAGTCATGTTTGTTCGGCAGCTTTCTCCTTGGAAGATCAGGAGCCTTGGCGACACAGCGGTTAGTAAACAGCCACACTTTGCAGTTAAGCTTTTATTTCAACTCTGGAACTGTCACTTAATTAACCCTAGCGCCAGTTTTGCAAAGATGTCATTTTCTTTCTTTCTTCTTCGTCAGCACTGTTACCTATGGTGGCGTGCAACCACTATGCTGAGTACACCATTAGTTTAGCTTTAGTAGATATTATTCTGAACTGCCTGGCTATGGTACGGGTTCAGCATCCTTTTCAACACTGGACACTTATTTAAGAGGCGGCACCTCTGAATTTAAACTTCAATCTCACATAGGTTCGAGATAAGTCGGTGATGAGCCTTGAAAACTATACAAGTTTTTTAAAAAAGCTTCACTGGAGATTCAAAAAAGGGTCATATCCATTAAAACCTAAAATGATGCTAACTGGGGTAACGGTGCTAAAGAGAAAGACAGACAGAAAGGAATAACAGAGGGAAAGACAAAAAGTAGGACCTATCTGAGGCACCCTCCAACCACCCGCAGCAAATAAAAAAGAAAAAGAACGTTTTAAAAAAAGTAGAGACGTACGAGGGAAAGTAAACATAGGGGTACGGACGTCGGTGTCCTTGCCTTTTCTGCTAGAGTACAGAGTGAGCCCGTCGCCGTTTTTCCCCCCAAGCGAAACAACGGTGCTTAATTTTTAAACGATATGAATTACACTACGCCGGTTGCAGTGGAACCGGTTTTAAACCCAACGCCAACCCGTGCTGCACCCTTGGCAGACCCGTC